AGCATGGAACAGCTTGGAAGGTAACAATAAGAAGACAGGGCATGTGGATCCCGCAAAATGAATCCAAGGAAATTTAACCAGAAAATTCCAAGCCCAGGACAGAGATATTTTTAATCAGCAGTAGACATTGTGTAAAGATCAGAAGTACAAAATAATCCTGTTAAGGATCGAGGGAGAGACAGACAGAGATTGAGGACTATCAAACACGATGCCTCATGTTTAAGGAAAGAAAAGTCCATGTGAAGCTATGAAGTCATCCGAATGATTCATTTTATTTTCCAAGGTCAAGGCAATTTCATGCATGATCCAGAGTCTGTCACCACTCTTCACATAGCAAAGAGGACTCCATTGCCTCAACCTACAAGGATAGGGTTTCACCCAAGAGTTTTATTGAGTTTGTGCACTTCCTGTGATATAAGCACATAACTAAGTAAAGAGAACAGTCAACACATGGGAAAATCTTACACCCTCCCTCATCAGAATTATGCAAAGGAGATTCCCACATTTGAAATTTCTTCATGTGCAAAGCCAGCACATGACAGCTAACCAACTTGAGGGCAATGAGCCCATTTCTGCTTTAGGTATACTGTTGCTATTTTTTTTTCCAGAAACAGTGTTTTTCCTAAAGCAGGGTACTGGAATTCTAAAGTACAGACAACTACCACAGTGCTGATCATGTAAATGAAGAAATTCTGGCAAGAGTATAAGTGGTGGGACAGACACGTTGGGGTCCAGCACTCATAACACAGAGCTTCTCAAACTCTCCGTGGTAATGGACCCCTTTACTTCTTATTTCTTATTACACACAAAAAGAAAGCCCCAATTTTTTATTCTTAGAGTCAACAGATGCTATTGTTTGAGTGTGTCCTCTCCAAAAACACTGTTGAAACTTGAACCCATTGTGCTTCTAGTAAGAGGTTGAGTCTTCAGGAGACAACTGGGCCATCATGATTCTGCCTTCAGGAACTGACGAATGCCCTGATACAACAGGCTTCAGGGGGAGTTGGTCTCTGTGCCCTTCCATCTTCCTTGACGTGAGGACACAAAAGCAAGGCGCCATCTTGGAAGCAGAGAAAACAATTCTGGAGCCTTGACCTTAGACCTCCCCGCCTCCACCACTGTAAGAAATAACCTTCTGTTCTTTGTAAAGTGCCCAGTCCTGGGCATTATACCACAAAGAGTAGACTAAGACACCAGGCTTAAAATTACTGTGAACTTGCTACAGAAGTTTCTAGGTGCTTCCTCCTGATAGCACAGGCCAGTAACATTGTAGGGCCCGGCACCAACCCAGACCACACTTGGAGCAACACTGTCCAGAGGTAGCATTCCTTACTCATCATTGGAATTCTTACCTCACAGCTACTGCACCCAGACCTCCACCCACGGTTTCGAAAAAGTAAACATTCAAAGGAAAGTCTGTCATAAAAAAAAGTGGACATCTGCCACCCTCAATAAATCTGCTTTCTTTAATTTTGCTGCCCTGCTTGCTTTCTCAAACAAATCGTAGGGTCCACTAATTTAAAAAATGTTTCATAAGCAATGGTCATCAGCTCACGACAACAGGGGACACAATCTGTATATGACAGTGTCTCACCTTGCCTACTGAGCACAAGAATAGCAACATGGGCTCTCACGTGACAGGAACTGGAATGGAGTCCCCCACTCTGCCACTTCCCAGCCATGTGCTTTGGGGTCAGGAAGTGCTAGAGTTTGAATCCTGAATGCCCCCCAAGCCCCTGGTTAAAGGCTTAATACCCAGCATTGTGCTGCTAGAAGAAGGAGGAAACTTTAGGAGGTTTCCTGGTCACTGGGGACAAGTCCTTGCGGGGGATTATGAGACGTCAGTCCCTTACTCTTCCTCTCTTTTGCTCCTTGGCCACTAGCTGAGCCGTTTTGTCCACTGTGACCTCTCACCATGATGTGCCACAACAGGTTCTGGATACCAGGAACTGAGTTAACAGCAAGTATGAACACTGGGTGCTCAACAAACATGAGCCACATGGCCACTCTGGCAAATGGCATCCACACCAAAGGAAACTACCCAGGGCCTCTTCCTGCAAGGAGAGATCCAGGGAACTGTAGATGCAGAGGGCTGCGACCCCTTCGCTCAGCCAAGCGAGAAGAACCAGAAATGGTGAGCACAGACCTGGGGGTAGGAAGTGATGCTACATCCAAATCCCTCTGAGGACAGAGCCTCCTGTCCTTCCTTCATCTAAAGCCATAACCACTAAAGCATTCCCAGTCTTGGCACCAGCAACAGAGCCACATCTCACCTCTGTCAAGAGCTGCCTGCCTGCATCACCTTACCCAGCTTTGCTTCAGCTGAAACCAAAAGGCTCTTTGACCTTGGGCCCAGGTTACTGTCCAATGATAAAAGCTGAACAGGGTTTGACTTGTTGTGTAGACCTTTGGGCACCAAAAGAGGTGAGATGCATCCCTGTTCTGTGCCTTGACACTGTGGACCTTGAGTAAGTCGCCTGGTCATCTGTTAGGTGCCCATCAGTGACCAGCAGGTTGTTCATCTGTACCTTTTTGGGAAGAGGGAAGGCCCGGCAATGGTTGATGAGAACAGCAAAGCAAAATGGGGCAATGGTAAGGGTGGTGTGGCTGTGCGTGTGTTCTTCCTTGCATGGTATTTTTCCCCATCATAGATCATGGGCCCTTTAACATAAACCATATACTTCCAGTGCTTACCCACTCAGCTCCAGTGCTCTCACTGCTCACAAAAATGAAGATATCAAGGAATCAGGCAGCTCTCTGCATCTTCCCAGCTCTTCAAAATCTCACAACTCACAGCGCAAGCCCTTGCAATTCTGGAGGGATGAGTTTCAGTTTTTGTTTACTGAACAGTTTTTGTTTGCTGGCATGGTCTGTGGGCCTCCGGCAGCTAGCACTGGCCAGCCCATTTGGGGCATGCCTGGGTGTCTCCCTACCACCCTTGGCTGTATGAGTGGGAGGGCTGTGTGCCCAGAGAAGACTGTGTACCCTGAGGTTTGCTTGCTTGGTTGGAAGTCCTCCGAGGTTAGTGGGAACTCTTGCCTCAGGCCCACCATGCATCCAGCCATGTCATTTCCACACTTTTCCTGGGCTCTCAAGAGCTGCTGGCTTCCCACCTGACAAGACCCCTGCTCTCCCTCAACAGGGCCCATTGGGAGTCCTAACCTTGATTTCTTCTTGTTGCAAATCCTTCTTCTGATTTTTTTAATGAATCAGGCGATTTTCTACAAAGTTCTCTGGAAGGGCTCTGAGCTGGAAACTTCTTCACGCTTAGTGGATATCAGGTTAGGAAGGCTGGCTCCCATCAGAGCACAGCATAGTCCCTTCAGCAGAGGCCAGGCTATCCCTCAACACAGCCTCCATGTCCACGGGAGCCAGAGCCCTTCCTCTGTCCTGGACAGCGCGAGTTGTCCCAGCCACTCCTTCACTGGGAGCAGCTGCCACCAGGAGGGCTCATTTAGCCTCTGCTACACGCAAGGGTGCTCTACCGAACCAACCAAATTTCCTGTACACAGCGATTCAAGAGGTCACCCAACAGGGCAGCTAGCAGGTGTCCCTACCCTTCTCTCCATGCTAAACCTGTACAATGTGGCTTTTCAGGTCCTCAGTCGCTCCCCACCCCTGAACGGACATAATCTAATAGGCTATTCAGGTTCTAGGATCATCCGGGCTTGTGACATGTCCCCATAAGCTGATCCATCTCTCCATTCCCTTTCTCCATGGCACGGACACAACCCACCAGTGAGCCTGGGGTCCCTGCTCAAGGGTCCAGAAAACAGGGATTCACATGCACACAGAGCTAAAGATGGTCCCACTGGTGGGTGACCAGCATGTACCTATTTCCTGTTACTTCCCCACAGTCACATCAGCCCAAGTGTTCCAAGGACAATAAATGTGGCAGCAGATACACAAAGCCCCTCGAAGCCAGTCTTCCCGCCAGCTCCAGGTGCTGCCCTATGCTGTCCTAATCCAGGCCATCAGCCTTCAGTTCCTTGTCTGACTCACTCCTATCCCAGTCAGAGCCCCTTCCTCCTGTTTCTGTCTTGGATGTCACCATCCATAAGGTGACATTCTCTTATGGAATACCATAAGAGAAGCCATATGGTATTCCTTCTTACTGATGCATTGGCCAAGTCCAATTCAGCAGAGCTGACGTTTGTAAAGTACGTTATCATTCATGGTCAAGTAGGTGTTTCCTCATTTAACACATGAGGAAACAGGCAGAGCTGGGGCTGAAATCCCAGGGGCCTTCTGACTGCCTACCTGGAGCTGTTTATTCTCCAACCTGTCTCTTCAGGAGCTTGCAAACCTCAGAGGACATTTTCTAAGGTTAAGTTCCAAGTCTCTATTGAACAATGAATCATAGGGGAAAAAGTACACGTCTCTATCTGGCTTCTATTTCTGGCTTTTCTATAAACTAGCACACAGTTGAACTTGCCGGGCCCTCAGCTTCCTCATTCACAAATTAAGGAGATGAATTAGAAAAGGCCCCAAGTTCTTCCCTGCTCAGCTGTCCTGAGTCTCCAGCCCTGTCTCTGCCATGTTGCTAAAATTAGGCAGAAAACATTGTTAAAATACCTTTCAGTTTTGTTTCTCCTGTTTTTAAACGTTCTAAGATTTGCTGGATCGTGTTTGATAGCTGTCTATCTAGTCTGTTAAGAAGGGAGAAAATGGAAGCTAGTTAACAGTCAAATTTCAGGCCGTTCAGTTTTGGTAATGAGCAGATACACCTGAGAGCACCAGCACAGGGCTGTACCCAGGAATTCCTCACCCACGGAGGACCAGCTCCAGAGCTCTGCATCCCCCCAGCACCTGCACTGCCCCCTGATTCTCAGCCAGGGACATCTGACCATGTCCAGAGACAATGTGGCACACACAGGACAGCCCAACCACAAAGTGTTGTCTGAGTCAAGATGTTAACAAGCCACGCCAAAGCACCGCTGAACCCCTTCAATTCTTTCCCTGTGCAGAGCACGAAGAAGCGAGGGTCGAGCATCTCTTACCGTGCGAAGAAGGAAGCGGCCACTGAGGTGCCTGTGGAGATCTCGCTGGCCACGCAGGAGCCCTGAGGGGCCGGGATGCCACAGGCCGTGGGCTTGTCTGCATTGTAGCGGTTCAGCGCTGCCTCGGTCTGTCCCTCCCGGCTGCTCTCTGTCATGAGCTGGGAGATCTGATGAGGAAAATGGACGCAGATTTCATTGTGTGACCACTGCTAACAGCTGTCTTTGGGGGAGGGAACAGGTTCCATCCCACCTGCATTCAGGTGTGGGGTGTTAGGGCCTCTGTGGTTATTCTCCTGTATGTTAGCTAGGACACTTCCTCGTTCTCATTTAAAATAATGGAATAAAATAACCCCCTGACATTGTGAGTTGCATTACGCCAGTGTGTCCCCTCCGAGGGGCGGGGGGAGCATCACCCATTATCTACATGCTTTTTGTGACTCAGGACCAGGGGTAACATGAACTAATGCTGGCTTCTTGCCAGGAGTGGCCTGGAACGCTCTCAAGCAGGAGAGTGCAAAGGTTCGGCCTGACTGATGGAGAGGCAAGCCTGCCGATAAAGGAGGAGTTAAGCCACATAGTATTCCTGCAATACAGGTGAATTAAAGAAGCAAATAAAAATAAATGTGGCTACCGTGAATTACCAGTGGTTTTCATGGAGGGTGTAGATCACTCCAACAGACCTCACTTCCCTTCTGGTCCATTAAGATAAGCAGTGACCAAATGCCTTTGTACCAGGTGCACACTCCAGTACACCACCACCATTTACACGAAGACCCCCGCTCCTGGACCAAACGAGGATCCATGTGGAAACATGCTTTTGGAAAGTGCTACTCTTACGGAAAATGTGGTAATTATGGAGCAAATTCTAAGTGCACATCTTGGAAAACCTGTTACCTTAAAACCTCACACTTGCAAAAGAGGAAAATACCAAAGTATCAGGTGGGGCAGAGGATACTGTAGTTCCAAAAAATAGTCTTTAGCCTACTCCAAGCCTTAAATGCTAAGTGAAAATTGCTTCCAGTTGGTTAGAAAACACAAGAGCAATAGAGCAAGGACCGAGAACAGCTGTCCCCTTGTAACTGTGAGGGCCACAGGCCAGTGTGGGAACCCCGTGTGTTAACCTCGGACCAGAAAAACATTTGTACTTTCCATTATTAGCAGATCAGTCATTTACTCTGGGCATCATTGACTTACTTAAAACTTTGCTGAAATTCCTGCTCTAACTTGGAAAGCCTTAGCGTTATTCCGCTGAAACTCTGCCAAATTGCACACCCTCTTATTCTCATTCATTCAATGCATTGGGAGGAAACTTGACCCAAGTCACAGAAACTGGGGAGGGAGGCAGCAAAGGCGGCCGGTGGCCCAGAGGACACTCAGCCAGGGCGCTGTCTGCAGAGGATCGCATCTCTTCCTGGACTTCTCTGCTGTGGTGGGTGAGGGTCCTCCACCAGCTGCCACTGTCCCAGATGAAGGAGGAGCCCAAAGGAGCGGGAAGGAGATGGTTATGCCATCCCACTGCCCCAGGTGATCCATGATGCCCCTGGGGACCACGCCCAGGGACTAAAGCAAACTCTCAAACTCATAGCACTTCTATTTTCATCAAAAAGCACATTGATTATGACACCAGGGACATTTGACAACAGTCAGTAAGTCAGCATAGGAAGCCATCAGGCATGCAGGACGCCTTGTGTATGTGTTACATGAGTCTCTTAAGACGGTCCCCATCCTGTCTTCTGTTGGTGTAGCTGCCTTTTCAGTACTGTTTCCTTCTTTTTTTCTTTCTTTGACAGTCCTGGGTTGGAACCCAGGCCTTGCCCATGCTAGGCAAGCATTCGCCACTGAGTCACACCCCAGACCATTGCTGTGTTTCTAATCCAAAGCTTGAGGGAAGAGGATAGGACCCTTGGGTCTCAGTGTACATCAATGGTCCTCGCAGAGGCAAACCCAGAATGGACCCGCTGAGACATGAGTAGTGTATGCAAGTCATGGCACACAAGGGCACAGTTTCAGAGAGGTTCCAGCCCCTGAGTGTGGCGCTCAATGGATGTGAGCAACCTGTGATTTTCCTTTTGGAAATTCTACCGGCAAATGAAAATGAATTTCTATGTTGGGCTTCAGTAAAAGAGAGCTACTGGCCACCTTGTGCCAAGCAGGACCGGATCTCCAGCTGTGAGCAGAATTATTCAATTGCTTTCAGGGGTTACAGTCACAGACTTAGAGCCACAGTGGACCCCCAAGGTCATCGCGCTACGGACTCCCCCGGCATGGTTTACTCATGACAGGTTACAGCTGCTCTGCCTTCCACTCATCTCTCCTCCCTCCTTCTAACTGCCACAACGCTTTCCAATTAAATATGTAGGAAAAAATCAAATAATAAAACACACATGCGAGCGTCCACAACCATCGCTAACAAATGCTAGCATTTTCATTATCTTAGAAGACATTTTCCAAAAGAAGCCAAACATAAAATGAAACAGAAAAGGAAACAGGACCTCTGGGGGGTGCGTCTTCCAGTCCCCAGACACGACCCAGTGGCTCCTCTCTGGGAGACAGTCAATGTGCCCGGGAGGGCATCCCTGGTGCGAGCTCTTGTAACCCTCCCCTCCTCACCCGAGAGTTCATGTTCCTGTTTGTATCCTTATCAGGAAACACAGACTTTCAGAGATAACACACAACATTTTGGTCATAGCAACTTTAATTTACCTTCTCCTCCTGCTCCAAAACCCAGGGCTACGACCTTCCCCAAGGCGCTTAAGTAAACCTCTTGCTCGTCCTGCCACAGGGCCTTTGCCATGCATTTGCTTCTCCTTTTCCGTGCCTTGGTCTATACTTTGCCTCTAATGGGACGTCATTTTATCCTACTTCACACCATAGCAGCCTAGGGCCATATTCTGAGGTCAACAGAGCTCCTGGCATTACGAAACAGTAATCCTAGTTACCTGCAAACCTGAGATTGGGAGGATGGTGGTTTGAGGCCAGTCTGAACAAAAAGTTCATGAGACCCCATCTTAGGCAATACCTGAGGGTGGGGTGTGCACCTGTCATCCCAGTGAAGTGTAAAATAGGAAGAACAATGTCCAGACGGCCTGGGCAAAAGGCAAGACCCCATCTCCAAAAGAACCAGAGCAAAATGGCTGGAGGAGTGGCTCAAGCAGTAGAGCACCTGACTTGCAAGCACAAATCCCTGAGTTCAAACCCCAGCACCACCACCAAAAAAAAAAGACACAAATCACGATCGTGGCATAAATTCAAACTGTTGTCACTTCTTACTTCTCACGTTGATCTGGTTACACCCTCTCTTAAGTAGTTTAGAGAAGAAGGCTTATTTCTTTTCAAAGTTTCATTGTTTTACTGGGCCAGAGACAGCATTTCCCAGAATCCCCAGCACCACTATTTCGTTGGACTTTTAGAATATGACAATATTTTCCCCCAACTCCATCACCGCCAAAGTGCAGTGTTTGGGCTCCATATGTGACAATCTGGGGATCAAGTTCTACTTCTTTTCATTTATTTATTGTTTTTGCTATGCTGGGATGAGCTTAGAGCTTTACACATGCTAGACATGCACTCACCACCGAACTGCCCCTCCACCCTTCTTTTCAGTCCTCTGGTTCAGCAGTTCATTCATTCACTCTATGAACTCTATGTACTGGATGTTAGAACGTGCCACGCCCTGTGATGGGACACATGTGCACTTGGTGTCTTCAGTGTCTTCAGCATTTCCCTCTTTTTCTCCTGCAAGCCTGTCTAGTTCCTCAGCAGCCCCTGTCTGGTACAGAGACAGTCTGTAGGTACCTGGCTGCAGGCAGGGACTGTGACCTGTAGCTTGCTCATTCTGAAGACCAGAGGAGCCACGCTGGCTGAAGGTAGAAGTGACTAGAGCTGCTGTCACCGGACAGCTGAAGTCCTATGGGCTCCAGATGACTCTGAGCCAGCCTGCTTGTCAGCTAAGGTATCATCCTTCACAGTGTGCTGGGACGCGCGCTGCAGGGTGCCAGCTTCTGATGGGTAACTTCCAACACAGGCAGTGTCATCCTTGTCACCAGGAGCCTACCGTTCCTCACACCTACAAGCTACCCCTGCGACAGCACCCTGGGTGGCAACCAAATCATTCCAGGAGTCAAGAACGGCTCCAGTCCAAGTTCCTGTGTGGCTTTCTGACCCTGTGACAGGGAGTCTTGGAATTGTCCCAGAACTGTTGAGTGGAGAGGCCTGAAGGCCTGTGTCTCTGACCACGGCATGTCAGTAACAGGAAGAAGGGTGCCCTCATGTCTGATACCCCTCCACTGCTGACAGGTTCTTCCCCCAAGGCTCAGTGGACACATCAACATCCAGTTACACTGACATGTGGCCACTACCCCCATTTTGCAGGCTAGAAAACAGATGCCAAAGAGACAGGAAATTTGTCAAGGCCATTCAGCCAGATGGAAGGAAACACAGGCCCATGACTCAATTCTCCTACCATCACCATCTGCCCTCCATCACTGGATCAGCTGAGGACAAGATAGTGCTAGGCAGTATAGAAAGTGAAACTTGGCTTAGTCTCTGACCTCATGAGATTTGGGAAAAAAACTAGAGAAACTTGGAGCCAGCCTGGGACATGTTCTCTCCGTCTCAAAATAGGGGTGTGTGTGTGTGTGTGTGTGTGTGTGTGTGTGTGTGTGTGTGTGTGTGTGTGTGTGTGTGTGCATGCCTGCATAGAACTATTATCTGTGATTCTGGCCAAATGTTTAGGTGGAAGAGGACCCCAGAGGATTGAGAAAAGGGTCCATGTCCACCCACTTGTGTGGTGAGCAGTGCAGGCTGGGCCTGCCCAGCTGTTGAAGCCAGGTCCATTTTGACATGGTTCTAAAGGAGACAGACACTGACCCACTGGCTGTCTTTCTCTCACACACAGTCTGGCCCTCACCAAGACTCTCTGTCCCCTGTGCCCCTGGGGAGCTGGCTCTCAGACGTGGCACTCCATGTGTTCCCTGGGGAACTTGAGGCCTTTTTACTCCATGCTAGCTAACAGGCCTCCTACTCAACAGCCCCCATTCTTCTCTTGGCCCTGAGTTTGATGGCAGGCACTGGTCTTTCCTCCCAGCAACAGGACCTCCCATGCTTCAAAGGCCTGTGCCTGTGGGAGGGGGGAGGGGGGAACAGCTTTTGCTACTAGCTATAATCA